TCCTAACCCACAAAACCTACTGTTTACTCTCTGGCACTTTACGGAAAACATTTGCTGACCTGTTTTGTATTATCCATTCTGAAATAGGAGGAAGATTTCTAATTATGCAATATATAATCAAATACAAAAAATTGATTACTAAGAAAATACCCTATACTTGTGGATTTTCTTCTGTTTGGGAATGGACTGTCTTATCCTTATCTGTAGAATAAAGCATTACCTAGCTATTCTTTTTTACAAAGCATATTATCGAAATCTTCAAAAGTATACAAAAGTGGAGAGAATAGTATAAAAACTGACATCTACCTATTATCTGCTATGTCCCAGTTAACAACATATGTCTAATCTTTTTTCAACCATATACCTCCAATTTTCCCTACCCTCTCCTCCTCGGTTTATTTACTTAGAACAAATCCCAGATATCATATTTTAATTATAAATCCTTTAGCGTGTATCTCTAACTTTTAAAAAAACAATAAGTATAGTGCCATCATCACATCTAAAAAGTTTAATATCAGTTCCTTAAAATCATCAAATAAAATGAAAATTTCCAATTTCTCTCTCATTATTTTTTTTTTTTTTAAAGTCATGGTCCAGATTATATTCATGCATTGTATTGTATTTGGTTGATATAATCATAGGTTCCTCTTATCTCTGTTTTATTTCTCATGCAAATTATTTGTTGAAGAAACCAGGTTAATTGTCCTGTAGCTTCCTACATTCTGGATTTTCCTGCTTGCATCCTTGTGATGTTGTTTAACTTGTTCCTTCTAGTTAGATCTGAGGAATTGATTGTATTTGGACTTTTTCTTTTTTCTTTTTTTGGCAGGAAAATACTTCCTGGGGTATCACTCAGGAGGTACATAATACCTGGTTATCTTTTTGTGATGATAAGCTTGGCCAGTCAGTTTGGGTGATGTCCACGTGATCTGTGATTGTCAGCTTTTCATCTAATGGCTTCAGCAGCCACTGATGGTTATTGCCAACCTGAGAGCCAGTATTTCCTTAGGGAGCTACAGAGTGGTGATCTCTAATTCATTCCCTGCTTCTTCATATATTAGCTAGACTTTTTCTACAAGGACTAACTTTTTCCTCATTAACTCTTTGCAGGATGAAAATGCTTGATATTTTTCCTTTCTTTGCCAGTTTTCAGAACGAGTTGGTTTTCTAGCATTCTCCAAAAATGGTTGTTAAGTTTTTGGGTTTTTTCCTTCAAGTTTCATTATAAACTTACTAGTTTTTAACATATTTCATGTATTTTAGTCCATATTTTTTTATGCTGAAATAGGCTTATCTTTGGTCAGTGAGAGCCTCTTTAAGTTGGCCCCTGAATTTTTTGACCCCATAGCTTTTGACTCCTTGCTTTCTTTTACAGTAAGGTAATCCATGTTCATTTTGTAAATTTCCTGCCCAGACCTAGAATCAGCCATATCTGTAAGAAGTCTTTGTTCCTTTAGTTTTCCCACATATTTTTGTTTTATTTTCACTGTGTCATCCTATTACACCTGCTCTCTCATTCAATGGAATATATCCTGTGGAGAAAATTGCCTTTTAATAATGGACTTTCTTGAAACTGAAAAACTAAGATATAATAATAGAAAGTAGCTTAGAAAGTTGCAGATAATTATAATTTCATACCATATCACTATTGCTTGAAAAGTTGGAGAGACAAAAAAAGGACATTTGGATCCTAGAGTATCTCCAGGAGTTAACAGCCTGCTGCTTTGCTGGGATGAGGAAAACAGTTTTGATTGTCTCTATCCCATTCACCATCGTGTTTTTATACTTTTTTGGTCCTAATTAGGTTAGAGAGAAAAAATGAC